TGTATAATGCCTTCAAAATCAATCCTCTCAAAATTCTTTGCAACACAAAAATAGCACATTCACAATTCATTATAAAATAAGTACATAAGACAAGTTACAGACGGGATATGTCAATTGGGCCCCCTCTCATCTGTTTGGTAGTTAATTGGTCTAATCAAGCAGTTTGTTAAAGTCCAAAGCATCAGATCAAACTCTATGGTTGGGAAGCTTGTTCCATACTCCCACATCCTTTTGTGAAAAGTGTCTCTTTTTCTAAGTTGTAAATATATGTCGATGTTATTTGCACCTGTGTCCTCTGGTCTGTGTTTCTCTCTTGATACCTAAGAAATCTGTTGACTTTGTTGACTTTGTCAATGCTATGGAGGATTTTAAATGAGTTATCTCTCCTCATAGTCTTCTTTGTTCATAACTCAAAGGGGGCTTGATACATGTTTTCCAGAACAATATTTTACATAAACATATTTTAGAATCAATGTTTGTAAGGGGGCTCTGTAGCTGATTCTCTGTCTTTATATCCTTTCTTCTGTCTATAAGTCTGATCCCACCACAGATCTGTCACAATCTCTCCAGTTCTCCTGTCCTTCTCTCTGACTCGCAGATGAAGAAACATTAACCCTGATGAGCACCCCTCGCTGTTCTCTTCCTGATGACCAAGGGGAGCCCCAGCCAACCCCTCAATCTTCCACTTTCTCCCAACATGCGCAACAGCACCCTCAAAGACAGAGGAGAGACACTGCAGAATGGACAAAGTCACACAAGAACATATCCTGGAGGTACTGTGTACTTTCTCTCTCAGTACAGTGTTAATGTACTGGAGTGTCCAGTCAGTGTGTCTGTACTGTATTAACCCCTCTCTCTCAGTGCAGTGTTAATGTACTGCAGTGTCCAGTCAGTGTGTCTATACTTACCTCTCTCTTTCTCAGGGTGCGATCATACCCTTCCCACTCTTCCCTGTCCCGTGAGATGATTCGCTCTCTGCTGTTCTATGCCCTAAGGGTGTGGGCTGAGCCTACCCCACTGGAGTTCCATGAGGTTTGATTCATTATATTATACTCATGCTTTTTTTCAGCCAGTGTTAATGAAATATCAGCAAACATCATGGATGATATCTGGACTTATTTTTAATTTATCATTTAACATATAAACTGTCAATAGAATAGAATGTGCAGTATTTGGAGTAGAGTCAGTAGCAGTAATAGACAAAGTAATAAAAGTAGTTCTTGTAACAGTATCACAAAGAAATCAGTAGCAGCAGTGCCAGCAGTAGTAGTTTCAGATGCTGTAGAAGTAACATCAATGTAATCGAGTATTATATAGTACCAATAGTCTTGCTTTCTGTTAATGAGGTGGGTGTGACTGGGGAGGCGGAGCTCCAGGTGGACTTCCTGCAGGGTTCCCATGGAGACAGCTTCCCATTTGATGGGCCAGGGGGAGCAGTTGGCCACGCCTTCTTCCCCTCTGACCCCCAGAGGGCGGGGACAGTGCACCTAGACTCTCAGGAGGACTGGACCTTCAGAGCTTCAGGTACAAGCAAACAGCACTGCCCCGCAACAGAGACTGGTGGAGCACAGCACAGTGCTGTACACCTCTGTAGGATATAATCCTGTGCCTCATCTCCTGTCCAGGTGACAGAGGACCTTTGCACTGCCGGCTGCTGCTTCTCTTCTGTGCTGTTGTTAAACACAGTTCTCTTTTGTTATCAATTATTGCTTTTTTCATGATCATCGTCGTCAGTATCTTGTTTTTGTTTGCATACTTTTATTTTCTTTCTGTGGTCCTTTTGGAAGAGGTCAGCTTTTTCTACATTGTTATTTTGTGTGGCTGCATCCTGACTTGGCCATCTGGGACCTCTCTTCATCATCATCATCATCATCAGAAGTAAAAAATGTACAGTTTAATTCTGGTACTCTCCTGCCTAGCTCAGTACAATACTGTCTGAGGAGAAACACAGCAGAGATCAGTCAATACTTCCTGAACAGGTGTAATACAAACATACACCGACCCTGTAATACATGGCGACACTGCAATAATCCTGTAGCATGATGCAAGACACCCTGATACTGGTAAGTCCAGAAAGCCACTCTCTGATAGACCAGAGAAATATGAGACAGTGCAGAAGACTAAGCTACAGATGCT